GTCATACCAAGTAGTAGAAAAATTAAAAAAAAAGCATTTTGGTCATCGTCCAGTAGACCATTCTATCATCTAAAAAAAAGTTCAAAGTATTTAGTGTAGTTTTAAAAAAAGTTATTGCGTTTCAAAAGGTGTACGAACACTTTTGTGGTCCACTGTGTTTATCTATTTGTAGTCCTCTTAATGTTAAATTAGTAAAGTCCTATTAACTTTAATTAATATTGAATTTCTAATCGCGTTTCTTTTAGAACGATATTTGCCTAATTGCTCACCACAATGCAGTAAATTCTCTCTAATTTTCCTCCAGCTTGTAAACAAAAATGGACAATTTGGAAAGAGGGGATACGATTATTCGAGTCTCGCGGCTCGTTTTTATAGTTGCCGATTGTCAACAATTATAAAAATGAGGTGTACAAGGCTCGATTAATCGCATCTCCTCTTCCCAAATTGTCCATTTTTGTTTACAAGCTGAAGGAAAATTAGGGAGAATTTATTGTACCTCAAAAATCAATTATCCGATTTACACGCTCCAAACTTCACAGATAATTTTAATCGAAGTCTCATATTCGAATAGCAACTAAATCGGCTATTACAGAATTTTAGTTTAGACTATTGAGGCTACTGTATCTTTCTGCATAAAATTAAAGTTCGACCTTCTCAAATTCCACCATCAGTTTGTTGATATCGATTTTATATAATTGACGAGCGGAATTGTGCAACTAACGAATGCCGTATTTTGTACGCTTTTAGTACAATACAGTGATCGCAAAAATATGTATCACATATTTGTTTTATGTCTGCGAACGTTTGAAATGATAAAAATAGTNTACAGAATTTTAGTTTAGACTATTGAGGCTACTGTATCTTTCTGCATAAAATTAAAGTTCGACCTTCTCAAATTCCACCATCAGTTTGTTGATATCGATTTTATATAATTGACGAGCGGAATTGTGCAACTAACGAATGCCGTATTTTGTACGCTTTTAGTACAATACAGTGATCGCAAAAATATGTATCACATATTTGTTTTATGTCTGCGAACGTTTGAAATGATAAAAATAGT